CGGCGACCAATCCTAACTCGTTCGATCTCGCGCATTCTCATCACTAAACCTGCCGGCTAGGTGGTAGAGTGGGAGACGAAACCACGGAGCTCAATCATTTATTTTGTATGCGTGAAAGAGTAAGAGAGTCCAAGAGTAACACAGTACATCATATATCATTTTTAAATTAACTTATCTCCTCTTCTGTTAATTGTAATGCACAGGTTACCTTTTATTTGACTTTTTTTGTATGAAAACGATCATTTCAATTATGTTATATTATATACCTAGATTAACCGACTAATCGTAATAGATTCCACAAATGAAAGAATATCATTATTAAAAAAAAGTTACACAATTTACATCGTTTAACACATTACACATGTGATAAGTGTTCCTTAATTTTCAATTCAAAATTTCACTACTTGCTGGCATGGCAATAATAATACAGTCTACAAGTTACAGGCTTTGTAATCCAACCAATGACCATATATAATTGTTGGTAATAATATTTATATATAATACTTCGGTCCTAATTCGGTCCGCGTAATCGTGCAGTCGTGCAAGTAGCAGTGTCAATAAGTCTCAATAAATACCATGACTATTTTTAGTTTTCACTGCTCCATGTGTGTATGCCACTGGCAGAGATAAACAAGTTAGGAAAGTTCACTCTGTAAGCGTGCTAAGTTTCCGATTTCTAAACATTTTTATGCAATGCAATAATTTATAATTTCATAATTTACAATTTACGTACAGTCATTACGGGTACAACATACATATTATTGAAGAAACTAATGCTTAGAATATAATCATTATTATTATCTCTCTGTTTTCGATTATTACAGGTGGCATAACAAGGGTGAGATAATAAATACGTCTTATCTAGCCCTTTCAGGACTATGAAATGAAGCTTTCTTACAAAAGAACAAACTGCTTCGCAAAAAAAATCATAGGCTTGCAGAGGGCCCCTTGTTTGATGGCAAGAGAGATGAACAACGACGACGGAAGACAATCTGACAGGAGTGATTGCATGAGGATAATACGGGTTTGGTCATTAAATACAACTTCAGCACCATTACGACCTGAAACATGTGTTGCGCATTGTCGCCCCCGACCTCATGTTCAAGAAGTTCAACAACTCCCGAATGGTGGAGAACGAGTTCCAACCACTACCAAGCCGGCAAAAGTAGCAGCTAAGGAGACGGACCTAGCTGTCATCCGTCCACGACTGAATTCATACCACTGGATTTTTCAGCCCGAAGTTATATTAATGAGATGGGAGACATTGGGTAGGATCATGCTCGATCTGTGGCCATAGGCTAGGGGTACCAGTTTTGCAAAAAAAAAAGCATGCATATTTTTTTTTTAAATATTTTTTATACTTTATAATTACAATTTATAATTAAAATATTTTTTAACTTCTTCGCTTAATATTTTAATAAAAAACTTGTTTACATTTTTTATGTTGATGTCGATTGCTCATCATGTCCTTTACTATCTATTGTGTCGTTACTGTACTTTTGCGATGAACTGATTGCGTTCAACAGTTTTGGTTGTGTTAGCAAAAAATCAAAAAAATCATTACACGAATATTTTTGAAATGATTTTTCAAAATTATAATTGATTTGATGG